CGCTTAAAAAACCTTCGTCCATCCCCGGTCTACCCTCGCTAACGAGTATAATTTTTATCGTCATCTCCGTCCATGATTAAATTTATAATCACCATCCTCATCCCCGCTTCCCCCGTACCCGCCCAAGCCCAAGCCCAAGTTGAAGCCAACATAATCCAACATTTTAAATAATGCAACAATATTTTAAATAATCTAACACAACATAATGTAGTATAACATATTCGAACATAACACAAATAACAAATATCCAAAATATTACTTAAATTTGATATAATTCAACATTACATAACATAACACAAATAATATGATGGGATATATATATAGATAACGGGGATGGGGTGGGGAAGGGGTAAGAGTAAGTCCATTCCCGCATAGGTTTATACTGGTATTCCCGTATACGTTCACCGTCCAATATGTATAGTCCATCCCTGGTCCAAACGGGACGGGTTTGGACGTATACTCATTTTTTTTTCCGGTCTATTGTCATCCCTAATAAAGAACAAAGGGACAATACCTGACAACTCTAACGAACGAATATTCACTGATAGTGGAGATGCTTCATGCATTCTGGTATAGGTGTCGTGGGCGCAAAAAACATTATGGTGTCAGGTTTAGCCACAGGACAACTGAGGAAGGGACGACAAAATTGGCCACAAAAGGTAGCATCGTGGAAACCCTAGTAGCAAGATGTATAAATAGCCAACGATACTACTGTGTAATATATAGAAAAAAAAGGATAGAAAAGAGAGAGAGAATATCATAGACAACCTAAGAAACACTTTGTAAAAGGCTCCCAACTAAACCTTCTGTAACCATTACCTTCTTTCCCAAGCAATATAGTCATCAAGAAGCAAGAGTCTCCTTTTACAATAGATGTAGTCTTAGTCCTTCGGTTAAGGTGAACCACTTATATTTTTGTCTTTACTGCAACTTCAACTCTAAACACATCCTCCGTTATAAGCACACGCGAAGCCTCTCTGGGCCTCATCTCATTCTGTTCTGTAGTTGAGTAAGAAGACATTCGAGCACCATCAAGAAACACTTGCAAGAAGAAGGAGGATGAGGATGCGAAAGAAAAAGAAAGAAGGGGGAGAATTTGTCTTTGATAAGAATTAGAAGATCATCTTTATTTTTTAAACGTTCAGTTTTGGACTGAAAACATGTCTAGTCCTTCTTGTTTCATGTTGGAATTCTGTCGAACAGTTGAGGTATTGCATATGATATGGTATAGGCAGGGAAGCGAGTTGGGTAAAAGGCTTTAGCCTCAAGCTGAATTCATGCAATCTTGGGCTGAAAGGTCTATCAGCCCAATCTTCGGCAGCCTTGGGCTTGGATTGATACCCTGAAAGAGTGAGAAACTGGTCCAACTCAAGAAATGTCCATCAGCTACTAAAGATCATTTGTCGTTGTAATTATTTTTGTTTTTCGTGATGTTTCCCGTAGCCGGATGACTCAATCACGCATGCAGGTGGTAGCCCGATTTCCCAACAAGTAGGGCCACGGGCCTTGATTTTTGTCCGCTAGGTATGAAGAGCTAGCCCGGTTAAGTCTCATAAGCGGCTTAGTGTATTGGGTAAAGTTCAAACAGTTCCAAAAAACCCTAGGACCGGTGCCATGGATCGCCCCCACTAAGATTGGCCCAACGAACTGACCCAAGTTTTCGGCCTGCCTTTGCTATCAGCTATTTTACCGACTTTCCAACAACAAATTTCAAATTTTACACTGAAATTTTCAAGCTATTTAAAAACCAAGAAAATTAAATATATAATCCAACCATTATACTAATTATCTCCAATTTTATTTATTAATTTATTTATTTTATGGATAATCATCTTATGAAATATCTTTCTTCTCTCTCATATCAAATACAAATAACTGCCTCCATAAGCAGTGGCGCCACCCATGTATGATGTATGCTACGGTAGCGCATCCAAAAAGAACCAAAGTTTGGTAAGAATCCGGATAAGAACAGCATCAGGATCACTTTTTTAACTGCAATCATGTCTCTTTTTTTTCTGTTCTTTTTTTCCTTGGTATTATGATGAAATGATGGTTGTTGAAATAGGGTGTTAATTGAGTTGAACTACTCGTAATCAGCTCGAGTTAAAAAAAAAAGAAAACAGTGATGGCAGCACCACCTTTACATAAAGAAAGGGCAACCGATTACTACAGGCAATAAGGTGGGTGGGACACCACACATTCATAACTAATAAGCTATGTTAACTTCTCAGGCTATGGTTGCAAAAGTGAGGCCTGGGTGACTCTGTTTCTGGGACAAATCTCGTCAGCTTAACCATAAAAACACACTAACACGCGCACAATACACTTTGGAAAGCATCCCCCTTTATACGAATCTAATTTACAAAGCCCTTTATGCACCCAACAACAACTTTTACTTAGCTACCTCTCCTTCCTCTACAATGTCAAGAACCCTCAGAAACTTTTCTTCTGATTTCTTCCATCCTTCTGTCTTCTGACAGCACAGGAAGAAGAAGAAGGAACAGAATAAAAAGATGTGTTATTTAGATAACCCTTTAGCAATCCATGGCCAGTTGGAAGAACAGAGAAGATTATGGTTTCTTTTTCAGGTACCCACAGTGGTGGAGATACCGACACCGGAGGCAGAGCGAATGGTGGTTTGAGCCGTAAACGGAGGCGGCAGCGGTAGCACGTTGAAGCAGTACTGCATTTGTTCTCCAACAAGGCATCCGGGGTCATTTCGTTGCAGGCACCATGTTGCTAGCTATGTCTGGCGTGCCGGAAAAAATAAGAGATGCCGGAGGGAATAATTATATTACATTTGTGGAAGCTACATGAAGGGGAAGATTATACGCTTGTGCAGTTTCTTTTTTTTGTTAACAACGATGATCTTATCACATGTTTCCTTCGATTGCAACCTGTTTACACAGAAGTGTTTGTTAGAAAATCAGATCTCTCTCTCTCTCTCTCTCTCAAAAATTTAGCTCTTTCATTGTTATTATTGAAGTGCTATTTTAACTCGCCATGAAATAATTTATTGTTGTTAGTTTAGTAATTAGTCTCAACATTATCAATCCAACCCAACCACCATGATAAATCATATCAATAGATTAGGTAATTAGGTTCGACTTTGAGAGCAAATTATTTTGATGCATAATAAAGTATATATATATATATATGTTATTTAGTCCTCTCAACACACCCACAATTAACAGGACTGAACTATAATGAGCCTATTCTTTTTTTTTTTTCAAAGGTTAGAGGTGTATGAATCAAATTATACGTATCTTAACTAATTTTCTTTTTGATCCGATCAAAAACAAACTATTCACACACACAGACTAGGGTATTATCCCTCACGGTGCCTGGCTCTAAGGAATTATATTGGAGATGACCCATGTCGTAACAATGTAGCTGTCCAGTAGATACTTTGTAGATCTGGGACAAGCACTGGACCTTCATTTTTAGTTCTCTTAAAATTGATCGGCTATACAAGATTTTTGTTATTGTTGAATCGGAAGAATGTTCCATGTACGGAGTTTTACTTTTGCATATAGAGAGTGTGATTTCGCAAATTGAAAACTTGACACGTAAGTGTGGATAACTCATTAATAATCGGAACAAACATATTTTCTTTAATTTTTCTTTGTAAAATGTATGAAATATTATTGCATGTGAGACGAGGGTATGATCGTATACGTATACAATTAGGTCAATATCAATATGATTGGCATTTTCTACCAACTAATTGATGCCGAAAAGATGAACGATCCATCTCATTAATATTAAATTTAAGAGGTGGATAAAATTTTGATTTATTGCAGATATTTGTAGTTGGTGGAAATCGTTATCCTGCCATCGAATTTCTTCCAATGTCCTTATCAACGGCTCATCATACCCACTAGTTCAAATTCTGACTTTTGAAAAATATCGGCCAATCAATGCCCATCTCTTCTTTATTTATCCTCCCCCTTTTTTATCCTAAAATTTAAAAATGTTTAATATTAAATTGCAATTATTATTCTAAGCCAACTCAAAACTGATTACTATTGTTTATATTCATTCCTCACCTGGTTTCTGCCCATTGTTTACGAAGGAATAGATTCATTTAATTTCCAGTGATTAAGATTAATGGTAATTTTTATAAATTTCTATTAGAAAATATATTCTGGTCTTTTTAATGGGTCGTGTTATATTGATTTAAAAATATGATAAAAATTAGAATCAAATAATAGGACACTAAAATAAAATTTAAAAAAAAAGAAGAGAGAGTGCAGTCAAAAGTATCACCATGTCAAGTGATATATCTTTTAGTTCCTTTTTTTTTTTTTTGGGTCGATTTAGCATTTTTCCTATGCAATTTTGTAACTATTAAAAAAGTTTAAAACATCATCCACAAAAATTTATGAAAGAGAAAAAAAAAAAGAAGAAAATATTAGCCGCCTCTAAGTCGGTAGCTGATAAACATGAACTGTGCATAAAGTAAATAAATCTAATGATTGTCGTTCTCTTTGCAAGGAAGTTGAGCTGTCGTGGTTGTTTTCTTGCATAACTTAAGTTTTACTTGATTCGAAAAGAATGTTACTTACACTTAAAAATTAAACCTAACTTTTTGTTTTAATGACGGGATCTAACAATATTATTATAGTTTTAACAATAAAATTTCTTTGTTCTAAGAGATTGGTCAAGTAATAATTAGAAAGAATCATAAATTTAAACGTCTTAAGTTTAAATTTTATTAATTTTTTAAGTTTAAATTTTACTAATTTTTTAAGATTAAATTATGAAAGATTTATCTTTCATAATTATTTTAATCCAACAAAAATAAGTCGAATTTAACCCAAGCGAGGAAGGGAATAGTCGAGAAACTTTGCCGGCCAACAAAGCACTTACACGTACTAAGTTCATGTTTCTCTCCATTATGAACTCGCATTATTTGTGTGTCTCTCTCTGTAAGTATGGTCATCTCGGGAAAAAAAAACTCTCAAGGATGATAAGGCCTCTGCTTGTGTTGTGTCAGAGAGAGAGAGAGAGAGAGATCAGGAAGGTCAAGAGATTATAAGTTTTGTAGGTTCAGCAATGATATACAGAATAACACATGACATGCTTAAAGAAACAGAGAAAGTCCTTACAATCGTACTTTCTTTTTTTCACAGAATTGAAAGAGACCAGACCAGGCAGGGCTCCTAAAGATATATATATGCAGCCCCTATACCCAAGCAACCGTTCAACCTCTTACGTAGACTCCACTGATTTCGGAGAGAGAGAAGAAACGCTGTCACTCGGAGGCATGGACTTCGATCTCTTTAACCACGCCGTCGAACTCGACCTGTGAAATCGGCACCGGAAAGACCCTTTATGGGTCGTCGGCGAACACAAGCACTGCCCTTTTGGTGAATTCACAGACCCAGAAAGGGACTCTCGTCCACTGCCGCCTTTAGGTGATGATGTTGTAACAGTGATACCGCCATGGGAGGCCATATTTAAGTTATTTTCTTGAAGAAGAAACTACAGAGATTAATGGAGGAAATTAAATTGAAAAGGGTTTGTATAAATAGGAAAATGAGAGGAGAACTCAAATTTATCTCTAAGAAGTGTGAGGTGAGGATAGGTAATGAGATCAAGTGGCTTGATTTGAATGCTTGTTTCAATGGCTAGTGTGCGACCAACCAAAGAAAGGCTTCCATTACATCTGAGACGAAATCATGACAGAACATTTTCAAAATATATAGCTAGGCCCTACCTCTTGCTGAGTAAATATTCTCTGAAACGGTTACATTACGATGACAGTATAGAATTTATTTATAGACTTATTCGTTTATTAGTAAATGATTACACCACGTATTATTATAAACATAAATACAGTGTAACCATTGCATCGAATATTTTTTTTTTTTTTTGTTTTCTATTCTACAGTTCCTCTAGTTACACGGTAATACTCGATCGACATACACTTACCACAATAATGCCACGGGCCCACAGTATCGTCTGGAACATGTTTTGTTCCCTTCTACAGTTTTTTACTATTTTCATTGAAAATCAGCGTCTGAGCCCGAATCAAACCAAGTGAAAATTAACCTGAAAAGTGAAAAGGAAGAAAATTCAAGCACATGGTAACGTGTGTGGCTGCATAGAAGAGATTATCAGGAGGTTTCATGTGGGGACATCATGTCTCTGAATGTGCACGTCTCAGATTCTCTTATTTATCTAATAAAATATTAATTAAAAAGGGAAATTTTAAGATTAACCATTCCAAAGTCCCAATCAGGAACCTCCTCGTGTACCAACAGCAATGTCCCTCACTGACCAGTTCTTGCCTTTTCATTATTGGGTTTTGAAGATTGTTTATTAATAATGATTTTTTTTGGTAAAACGTACATTGAGGTTAGGCATTAGCATAATAAGTGATAATGCTCGGTATATATGTTTGAGTCCTTGTGGGCCCAAAACCCTCCGACCTCTTAGATAACAACCTAAGAAGTTCATCCTGGTAATATTTCTCTGAGGGCGAATTAGATACACCGCATAGCCAAGACATAACCTAGAGAAGCTCGGGTCGAATGGGCTCGGCACATTTGAGTTTGGGACACGATAACCCGAAACAAAGTCAACCAAAAAAATTGTAAATGAACACGGATCCGACAGATAAGAAAACTCAAATGAACAACAACTCACTTGTAATGAAGACGGATTAATAACAACAGTCTACATATAATAGAATCAAAAGTGTTTGGAACCACAACACCAGAGTAGAAATTGATATAGAGAGACCTACTAAATTAGTCAAAAAGAACAAATGAGGAACCCTAACTATCGATAGTATAAAAAGTTGGAAGTGCTACAATGCAAGGGGAGACCTGTAAGTGAGAGAGAAGTCGTCTCTAAGCTAACAACCTTAAGCCTAACTTTTTGTAACAATCATCATCTTTCTCAAATAATATAATTCTTCAAAGAGGAAAAATCTCTCTTACAGTAGATATAACCTTAGTCATTCGGCTAAGACAAACAACTTAAATTTCATCTTCTCTTCTTTATTCACTCACAAGTAAACACTTTCACACACACCCATTTAAGCGATCACACGTATATCGAGTCTCCACTGATTCTGTTTTGTGACCTACATCCGTTAGTTTAGAGCACCATCAATAAGTACTATCGTTGTTGTTGAATTTTAAGGTTATGAGTTTAAAATTTGCCGTATTCTTCCCTATAATAATGTCCGATAAAAAATAAAATGTAAAAAGAAAAAGTAAAAGTACATTCATATGTTGTGTAATAAAAAAAAGACAATTTTATGCGGCTCAAAATTGGGATTCCAAATGACATTTTAAATCAATAAATAGTTAATTCTATTTTTAAATATTGATGGAATCTATGGTCCTTTTTTATTTGAAATGATATTTACAATCAAAATTTAAGTTAGATAGCATTTTCCCCAAAATTTTTGAAGAATAACCTCTATACTATGGGCTCCAAACCCATATCTTGAAACTTAGTTGTGGCTTTGGGGATAGGAAAAGACAAGATTGGGCCGTTCAATCCTAATTATTACCACCTACCGGGATTTGAGAGTTTGGATTGGATACGCTATGTCACCCACTTTCACCTATCCCCACCACACTTATCACTGTCATCATTTGTCACCATTCATCACACTGTCGCCTAGAAAGCACACATCGTCATCCACCACCACTATCATCATCGCCCACCACCACCACCCACACCTACTACCACCACCATTTTTACATACGGTTGTCATTACCATTATCATCACTCAAAATTCATCACTACTATCACCATTGTCACCTACGACTGCTACCATCACCACAGTTGTTGTCTTACCCACCATAATTGTCATCATCTCCCACCACCATTACCACCGTTCACTCTCATTACAATCAGTGCTTAAATTTTTTATTTATCTTCTATGTTTGTGATTTAATTTTGGGTGTGAATATAAATATACTGACCTTTTTTTTATTACTCCCTGTCTTCAGCCAAGAGAAATATTAGTTTATATAATAAAGAACAATACAATTCAAAATTTAAAAGATAAACAAAATAACTTTTATTTTTAACGGTTAAGATCTCTTTAAATTTTAGTAGTATTTGGAACTACCCTACCACCACCCCACCAGCACTACCTCCACCGCCACCACCACCACCACCACCACCACCACCACTACTACCACACCCGTTGTCCCACCACCACCATTCATATCATCCCACCACTACCATCATCACCGCTACTGCTACCCTACCACTACCATCACCCTCACCGCCCTACCCCCCACCACCGTTGTCTCTCCGCCACCATCTCTTCTACAACAACCATCACCACCACCACCCCACAACTACCCCGCCACCCACCGTCCAATCATCGTCTCTCACCCCACCACTATCACTCACTATCACTACCACCACTCGTCTCAACTATAGTCGGTGCATAAATTTATTTCTCTCTCCTCTATTTTTATAATTTGATTTTGAATGTAAATATAAATATATTTATTGTTAACTATTTTTTTTATTATTTTGTGTCTTCTATCACAAAAAATAATTAATATATGCGCACTTAATAAGGTTTTGGGCTTATACCGCATCACAAAAATATAAAATATTCCGAACATAACATAAGCTGACTTTGGAACGAGATTTGTCCGGTCCTATCTTTTATCTCCTAACCAAACACACTCTTTGAGTTGCCAGCCTTTTATCTTTTTCGTCGTAGACAGGAAAAAAGGAAAGAGATAAGCTTGTAAACTATATGAAACAAATACGATTTCGTGCAGAGGCGATTAGTTGAGTAAATATTTAATATAAAAATTACAATACATTAATAATATCATATTGTATATTTTCTATTAAAAAAGAAGATAAAATAGACCCCTTTTTGTTTACGTGAAGGCAATTATATATTACATGAATAGTGATTATTAAATTTTGTCAAATTTATTTGTTTATTTATTTTTTAATTAGTGATCAATTATGATATAATATAGAGTAATATTATTTGAATTTAAAATTTGATCTAATAATATTGATAACATAGATAAGATAATACCAAATTCATTTGATAGATCTACATTTAGATCAACACCAAATCAATATTTTCTCGAGTTGGCCAAGTCAACAAAATGAGAAACCCGCCTTGAAGCGCGAGACTTTCGGTGTGGGATCGCATTTCAAGACATCCCGCCTTCCACGCCTCCTGTGTGCCCAAATTTCTTCGCAAAGGACAAAATGGCCCTTCAGCCCATAATTATATGCCAATGTCTGAAATGCCTACAGAGGATAAGGGCCACCGCCACCACTCACACCAGGCACAAAAGCAGACAATAGAGAAGGGGCTTACAATTACATGACATATGGATGGATGTACACGTGGCAAAAGTATTTCGACTATTAGGTATGTGAGTGTGAGACAATAAGTAGTCAGTCAGTCTTTTGTGTTCGATTGTATTATTTTTTAATTAATATTATATTTGAATTATAATATTTTAAATTCAAGTTGAGTTTGATTTAATTTTAATCCATCTTATTTAGTTAATCATGTAAAATATTTAAAGTCTAGCATTTGAATTGTTAAGTAAAATAATAAAAACAAGACTTGGACTTTTTATCTCTCAATCAATCAAATCCGAGTCATCATAATTCATTGTCAAAAGAGCTTTAGCCTAATAATAATAATAATCCATGACGAAGTGGATAGAAAAGGCCGCCCCCACTAACAGCAAGACCACAAGGCAGACAATGAAGAATGGGTGCATGTGGATAGAAGTTTAACTAATTATATGAAATTGGAAATTATACTTTACACCAGCACCTCCGCACGAATGTTTTGAAATGGAAAATGATGCGAAACTTGAGTGCGTGCCTTGCTGCTTCTATTTGTCTCTGATTGTGGTATTAATTCCTCATTATGAGTAAATTGCCCTCTTTTAGTTGTCCATTTTTTCAATTGATTCTTT